GAGAGATGGGGTATGTTCACAGTGGAAGATTCACATGCTAGTCCTGTGTGTTTTGCTTTATTACATGATTCATGATTGAAAGCATTAGAGAAAATGTATCATCTTCCTTCAACTATGAGTGCAGCCTAAAAATCATAGTGCTGTGGAGGAGAGAGGTAGGGAGCAGACAAGTATCGATATTCTGCTCTAATTTAAGGTTGGGGCTGTTCAGCTCTGTATCATGTCATCTCCCAATTTTAAGCTTAAATAGCTAATACAGTTTTGTTCTTTGCGTGGAAGATGTTGTTTGATGTTTCTAGGAGGTGCGTGTTTAAGGAGAACACGTTTAGGAAAGCTTTGATTAAAAAGTGTTGAGGTGTAGCAGGTTGGTTGTTTAAAAGGGAGTGTTTGTACTGGCCTACATATTTACAGTTCTTTGTTGAATAAGCATATATTAGCTTTTGGTATGTACATGTAATTATGATAATGGTAAAATTCACAAATAATTTCAATTCCTAAATTTTGCCTCAAAGGCAATGAGAAATGTAAATTTTCATCCTTGCAGTCAATGAAAAAGTAGATCCACGGCTCCATCTACTGGAGTTCAAAACCAGCAGCGAGAGTTGCTTGTTACCGAATGCCCTGCACTTTGGCACACTTGTGTGTGTAACTGCTTGGCAGAAGCTGACATAAAATACTGGGTTTGATTTTTTTTTTTTTTCAGCTGATGGCCGGGTGGAATAGATTTCTCTGGAGACATTGGTGTAATATTTAGACAATTTTACCTGTTTTAACACTTGCGTGGCTTTTTCTGCTATTACATTCACTGTCTGAAAGTTGAGCAATTAGTTTCTTTTGACAAGGTACAGTAATATCTAAAATACAGAGCTTGTATAATTCTTCCCCTGTATATTTATGTATTTTATGCTCGTACAACTGCTGTAGGCAAGATAAAGGCCTAGTATTGTATAGGTGGATGGTTCCTCCAAAGATCTCCTGTGTGGAACAAATAAGCCAAGTATAAAAAACTTGGCCTCTTTTTTTTCTCTGGCAATTAAATACATGACACTAAGAAATTTTTGAGATTAATTTGCATTTTGAAACATCCTGGTGCAGACCAGTGTGAAAGGAAGCTGTTTCCATTTGGTTAATGTTTAAAATGGCTAATAAGAGGGAAAATCTTTTGTTTGCACTTTGCCTGTTCTGATTTGCATTGGTTTCAGCGCAGGAGCTCAGAAACTGTGAGCTATAGCCAAGCTCTTGAGGAAGAGCAGATCCTGAAGTAATCTACCATTACTCTGGCTGCAATTAAATGTTTTCAGAAGAATTTACTTATTTTCCTTCAGTATATCAAACTTTGTCTTGTGTAATACCAGATGCAAAAGTGTGCATCAAAAATCCATTCCATAAAAAGCAAAATTTGAATGGCTGTCTACTGCAGCATTGAGTAAACACTTCAGTTTCAGTGGTAACTGGATTTTAGAATTAAAAGATATTACAAAGTAATGGTTTGTGTATTTGACCAGGATTCAGACCTTTGTACAGAATACTGTGTAGACTATTTTTTGGACTGTTCACGTTATGTAATAATGATGCAAAATATGTTTTGTCCTAAACAAGGAGCCTGATCTAATTGAAAGCCTTCCTAGACTGTCACTTCTCCTTGATCCTTCTTGTTTACTTGACTTCTTGCTAGTGTTCTAAAACCCCAATAATTTCTTTTAAGATACATGGAGCTTTGTATTAGCTCCTAGATTGACTCTATAGGATCAGAATTGTTGTCCAGTTTAGATTTGAAAGAGTCTGGAATGCCATAATACCATTGAAAAGGTGTCCTTCTCTGCTGTTTCCTTTTTCCTCTGTTGCAGCTTTTAAGAATGGTGCCAGTAGGGATGAGGGTGTTAGATACAGAAAATTAGTGGTTTCACAGAGAATATGTAGCTGGAGTGAATTTTACTCTGTAAGGGTTACTGCTATAAGGTGCACAAGTAATTTACATTAAACGTGGAGACTGAAAGGAAACATCTCCTGTTTTGCTCATAATAGGACATATATGGCAGTTTATAACTCTTCTACAGTAAGCAAAAAAGTTAATGAAAGGTCTTATTTCATTAATATCTGAGGGTATTAATAACTTGAAATACATATTATTTTTCCTGTGTTGCAAAGAGAATTGTCACTTTAAGTCAGTGCTAAACTTTGGCAATTTTACACTGCAAAATGTGTGTGTGTATATGTAAGGATATGCAAATACTATTCAAAACATCAATAAAATATTCACAATATTCAAATAATTCAAACTGTCTGCACATAAGCATTCATATATATGCATATACACATGCATGTGTACATGGATGTGTGTGTTTTGAGAAATGTCCTCTGATAGCTATTGTAGACCTATAATTAGTTGGTATTTTATGGGTGAGGATTTCTGCTCCTTAGACAATAAGAGAAATTTTGATAGTTTATTTGTGTTCTTCGTTCAAGAGGCAGGGAGGGAAGAATGACTGAATAAATGCCATTTTGTTATCTGCAGTAAGAGGCAATGCATTCTATTAAAAATTGTTACCACCTGGAAAGCTAAGGCTGTGTGTATTCATGGATCAGTTATTAGGAATAAGCTGTATTATTATTTAGACACAGCCTTTGTATTTCCAGCGAAAGTTACAATATGTACTTTTTGCTCAGTTTTCTGATTCCTTCTGCTCTCAACTCAGAGAATTTCATAAGTATAGGCAAGGATGGTTTGTTCTCCAGTGAACTAACAATTAAGGTATGGGCAGGAGTGTGAATGATGGGAGCAAATGTTTTGTCTGAGCATAAGATGCGTATAGCGATTTAATGTATTTTAAAAATACTTTGCTCGTCTACTGCAATTGTAAAACTGCATTCTAAAGTCTTTTTTCAGCAGTGATGATGTGTCCTTAAAACACAAGGAAGAGCGCTCGCAATCTCTAAATAATCTTGTGTGTATGTGCTTATCCATACACACCAGCATACCTACAAGTACTCTTTCACAAAAGCAAAAAAAACCCAACACAATAGGTCTGGAAGTGGTTAAAGAACCGAGAGAGGTTTGTACAGGGACGGTGGAGGGAGTTGCACACGGCTTTCCAAAGCACACTTTCAGTAGGCTGAATTGTGGAAAGACAAACCAGCTGCTATAATGTAAGCAAGCCCCTATGTGAGTTCACAGGGCCTCAGCTTCTCTGTGCTGTTGCCTCTGCTTTTGCTCTTCCAGTGGTGTAAAGGCAAACTACCTTGCATGTCGGTGAAATGGAACCACCAACCGGCCGTGCATTGGTTGGTTTGGTAGATGTAAAGTTATTCTGATAACCTCTGTGTGTGTGTGTGTAGCGTCGGTTCTGTCCCAACCAGACTGAATTCAAATCTGGGTTTCCATTGCAGGACCTCGATATTGTCTAGGTCGGGTTTTAGCTTGTCATCAGAGATCACCAATGACTTCTAGGAGTTAGTGACTGTTCCCAAGCAGTTTCTCTCACCTTAAACTACAAAATTGCTTATTGATTTCTGGTGCTTGTGAATATTGTGGCTGCTTGGTGGTACATGTTCAGACTGGAGCTGTACTAGCTTTTTAAAAAAAAAAAAACAAAATGGTTTAAGAATGCAGAAAGTGCAGTCCAATGTCTAGTCAGAAATAGACTCAGAGCTTACTCATTGCCCTTTCTTTCACAGTAATATATATGTAGTTTTATTACTCCTTAAGTATTCTGTTCCCATTTTTATTTTTATGTATATGTGTGTATATATATGCGTTGTATAAATATATTGTTCATAGATATTTGTTGTAGCCACATAACATGTATTAAATTGCTCATTAGATGAATGAATTTATTTTTGCACTTGACATATAAACATTGTTTAGATAAATGACCTGATTTTTATTCCTATGTGCTGAACACTTGCAGCTCATGAAGTTGCACTCAGGCATTATACCTACAGCCTCTCTTGTTCTTGTGGTTATATATCACATATTTTTATTGCCCTCCGTGGTCCTGTCTCTCACAATGGTAGTTTATTATAACGAGAACAAAAAGGAGGTAGAACTGGTATATAATTCATAAAGATGAATTTTCTTCTAGTACATCTGCTGTGCTGATCAAAATAAGTTTTTATTGCTTAAATATTTATAAAAAATGCCAAGTATCTATGTATGAAACTCTTTTCACTAATTTAAAAAAAAAAAGAAAAAAATAGCTAATTATAAGCAAGTAGGCTACAAGAGGATTTCAGAGAAGTGTTCAAAGGAAACATTAAAGTTCAAATCCAGAAACATGATCCCATATTTAGACAGTAAATTTCTAGAACTTATAGTTCCTTAAGAAGAATTTTTGGTGGTGTGTATTTTAGCTTGACTGCAATGCCAGCATTTTCTCTGCTGTGAGGTGATACATACAGCCTTTAGCAGGAGCACATAAAGGAATTAAAAATACAACTGAAAATTCAGTGAAGATTGGAAAATTTAAATCCTCTTCTTTCTTGCGAAAATTGGAGTATTTAGGAAAACAAAGTAATGTTTTGTTATACTCAGACCATGAAAAATCAAGTCTCTTCTAAGAGAGCTTACAGTTCGTAAGAAGACTTGTCCCAGGAATTTACAAAAACACGGACATTTGGGTGATACATCTTTTGGCCTGTAGATTTTATAGTGTTACCCAGCGTGATCTGCATTGTATATTATATCATATATAATACTGTATCTCTTATCTATAGAATGTTTTGGGCCACATGTTTGCTCAGTGGCTGGCTTTTCATTGCTGCCTACTGGAACATCACTTTTTGAAATTCTAAAAATCTCCAGTAATGCATACACAACAACTTGGCAGCTGTACATAAAATCGATGTTGACATCTCATGTATTTAGGCTGATTTAAAGCCTGTTCAAGTAGACTTTGAGGCTGAATCATTTATCTTTTTTCTTTTTTTTTTTTTTTTCTTTTTCCCCTCTCATCCCAGATTAGTTTATTGGCTGCGAAGAGCCACGGACACTTTGTGCCCTGATGGGGGACTCAGGATCCAGACGATCAACTCTAGTATCTCGGTTGCCAATATTCAGGAGAAGTATTAGCCGGAGACACGACTCCCTTCCTTCCTCACCTTCTTCTGCTAGTGCCATTGGTGTTCACACCTCCTCCCCATCCAGCACTAACTCCAGCTCAGGGAGCACAGGCAAGCGCCGGAGTATTTTCCGCACTCCTTCCATTAGCTTCCATAACAAGAAAGGGAGTGAACAGAAGCCTGACTCGGCTAGTCAAAATGCTAACATCTCAAATGGTGCCCAGTCCTCTCTCAGCACTTTTCAAAAACTTAACTTAGAGGAACACATTAAAAGCAGAGGAAGGCATTCGGTTGGCTTTGGCAGCTCACGTAGCAAGAAGATAACAAGGTCTTTGACAGACGATTTTGAAAAGGGAAAGGAGCCCTCAGCTAATAAGAATGTCTTTATAAATTGCATAAGCTCTGGGAAGAATGAGGGTGATGATTCAGGCTTTGCAGAGGAGCAGAGCCGATACTCTGTCAAACAATCCACACGAAAACTTCTCCCTAAGTCTTTCTCATCGCACTACAAATTTTCTAAACCAGTTCCGGAGAGTCAGTCGGTTTCCTCTGTGCAGCAGTCCAGGTGCTTGCTGGAGGTTAAGTCGTATGTGGAAAGTGAACCTGTGATTGCCAAGTTCTCTCCTCCATGTTCGTCTGAGATGACAGAGTGCATGGGAAGCTCCTTGCAGTCCCCCCTGCTCTCAGCTGACCTCACGGCTGCCCAGACCCCCTCCGACTTTGTCGCCCTGACGGAGGATTCTGTTTCGGAGGTTGATGCTCTGCCCAGCAGCGGGACTGGGGCTCTGCTCGCAGAGGGTTTTGGCCACAATGTCTCTACCTCTCAGATCTTCTTTAATCCTGCTGCTGCTGCTGCTCCTACGAGGGAAACAGATATTGTGGAAAGTACTGGCCATTCTGCTGGTGTATCTCCTGCAAGTCACGCAAGCTCGTGTAGCATTGAATCTAATATCTTACTCAAAAACTCAGCTGCTAATCAAACAAAAGTATTGTTGCAAGCCAATGAACTACATATTAATGATGCCAGGCACGTAGGAGAAATTAACTCGGCAAATGCACATTTAGAAACCTGTGCGTTACAGCATAGAGAAGAACCAGTGATACCCTCTCCAAAAGCACAGGGGTTGAGTGGGGACAGAGATGAAAGCACGCCATCTAAGCACACGAGAGAGACAATTACTGTAATGGAGTCTAAGATTGTTCCATGTTCTGAACCTCAGTCCTTTAAAACACAACAGGGTTATGAAACAAACCGTTCTAAAGGTACGTCTCATGGTCTTTTCGTTGTTGAGTTTGATGGGGTTATTTTGGCCTCATTTCTTCTGTAAGAATTATTTGGTCATAAAGTGTTTTTGTAGAGTTGCCAGTGGTAGCTAGGAAGTTCTAAAGTTATGAATTGTGCCCTCCTCCCAAAATTGTAGGAATTAAACAAAAAGTCTATGATTTTTTGAGCTCACGTTTTACAGTTTGCTAACACCCATCAGTGCTGTTCGTAGCTATGTTTTCCTGTAGTAGAAAATGAATTGAGAAGGGAGTATTGATTCTTGCCTCTTGTTGAAGGCTGAAGCTGGGATTATTGAGGCATGCCTATTTTGGACTTAGGCCAAAGAGTTACACTGTTTGAGATAGAAACATCGCCAGAGAACTAAACCTTCTTTTAGTCTGGTTATGAAAAATAACACAGTTTATCTTATATTGATTGGGGTTTTGAAATTTGCCAACTCGCTTGCTGTGTTCAGCTGATGTTATAGAGTAGCTTGGAGCAGATGTTTCTGTGGCAGAGTATGGGAGATCCTATTTTTGCTTCCATCTGAAATAACATTGTGCAAGTTCTCATTATGTAATCTATGAAACCGAGAGAGTTAATTACCATCTTCATTTCACACTGGATCTTTAGCTTATGGAAAGGAATTTGGAAATATAACAAGATTAAGTGAAAAGGCTGTGCCTAGAAATCCCAGTCTATAGACATGCAGATGAATAAAGGCACCAGGCCCTTGAGTGAAGGACATCTGTCGGAAGACAGCTATCTCTGACAGTTTATTTCCTCAAAGCAACCTAAAGACTGGTGCTTTCTTGCATAATCCTGAGGCTGTATCCGATGATTTGTGAACGTTAACAAGGCTGCATTTATATTTTTTGTATTAGAAGACGAATGAGTGTAAACTCATACGAATTCATACCCATCTTTTTGCGTGGACATTCATCTAGGCATGTAGATTATAAGCAATCAAATGCAGTTTTGCTGTTGGAATTATTTGTCACTGCAAGGCTTGGTTGGATGTCTTGTGCATAAATGGCAATATAAAGTCAGATCAATTCACTAAATTAGCTTTCACCAGAAGGCACTTGTTTCCCTCAGAACCTTAGTCAATTGGAAGAAAAAATATTTCCATTTATGTTACTGGTCCTCAGCACTCAGTTGGTTTTCCTTGCAACATTGGCTCATCTGTGAATGAGCTCATCCTTTTGAAGCTGACTTACTAGGGTGTACTGCAGAACAGCAAGTGAGCAGCTCGGAATGATGTTTAGAAATACACAGTGCATTTGAAACTCATGCACTGGCAGTTATATATTTAATCTGTATTTCTGGAAGGCAGCTAACTGCAGTTGAAACTGTGATAGAGGGATTTTTGCAAATGGGATTCATGGTCAGAGAAGCACTAGAGCTAATACTGCACTATATAAGTCGATGATTAATTGTTAGGGTTTTCTAGTTCTGTTCAAAATGCAATTTTTTTTGCCTTGTGTGGTGAAGAATGTATTTAAAATCAGAAACTAGCCAAGCATACAAAGGGACCGTTGAAAAAAGATATAAAAACCTGCCATATGAAATGAAACAAATACAGAAAAAGCTTACATGGCATTCAGTAAGATATGGTTATAAGTAGTTATATCTGTTACAAACAGACTGTTTTGAACATTTGGTTTTGCTAAAACAGTATTTAAAACCAGATGTGAATGCAAAATATTTGTGTGCATTTTCTTTGGTAATAGATATTTACTCTTCCGTAGCTGGTCTCATAGCTGATATCATTATAGATGGCGTCGTGAACATGACATTAATGTATGAGCAGGTTTGATGTGCCACATATTTCTTAGTATACCTTCATATATTTTTATGTGATACGGATTTTTTTTTTTAAAAGCCTTAGAGAAAATGTCTGTTCTCTTGCAAAAGGCAAAAGAAGATAAGATTTTCTGTTAGATTTATTATGTTGTTATGCTTTTCTCTTTCCCCATTTCTAACTTTGCCCTAACACCTCAAAATGTAATTTTTCTCCTGTTTTCTCATGTGTTATTGTTTAACTGGAGTTGGGGACTGGGATTCAGCCTGCTGGCTGCAGGCTAGGTTTGGAGGGTGCGGATGCAGGGTGGAGCTAAGAAGGTCAAACAGAAACAGTGTGCAGCCCTATCCTACGCAGTGGTAACAAAGCTGTGACCTGGCCCTACAAAACCTAGACTTGCTTTGGGATGCAGGTTGGGTTTTGGCACCAGTGGACCAATGGTAGTTTCTTTGGTGGATTTTACTGGACAGCAGTTTGGAAGTGCTCTAGAATGAGGGGAGAAAAGAAAGGATAGGATGGAGCAAAGGTCCTTCTGGATTCTGTGAGGAGCTGTGGACTGGGCTGTAGCGTGCTGAGCGTGTGAGTCATTGGGGGCTGAACAGTGAACTGGTGGCCCAGGTGACACTTTTGTCTAGGTAAGCAGGATCTGCTTTCTACAGAACATCTCTTATGTGATTGCCTTTCAATGTAAGCATTTCAAGCAAAGCAGTGTTCTCATTAAGAAAACTGTTGTAGACTAATTCTCTGTAATGATTGCTGATTGCTTCTCTATTTGTAGTTGATCTTGCCAATAGCTTCAGTCCATTCCGAGAAGGCAGATTTGTTGAGAAACGACTGAGATCCTCTTCAGAAGGTACTGCTGGAGGCAGTCGGCTGATCATAAAACCAAAGGATGGAAATACAGAAGAGCTTAACAGCCTACGGAAGCAGAGAGCAAGCTCATCCTCTTCAAAAATGAACAGCATGGTGAGTTTCATTCCCATATGTGTAAGTTTTTGTTTTTCTGTGATTGGTGTAACTACAACGAGAAACAGCAACTTTACAAGTAATGGATGGTAATAAAGTGGGGGAGGAAGCTGTCTCAGGCTTCCAGAATGTCATCCACGCTCAGCTACAGATATTAAGGTTTTTTTTTTTTCAGGGTGTGACATTGTGAAAAGGTTTGCGTACCTTCTCTGAAGAGATTCTTGTTGTCATGCTTTGCTGATTTGCCTGGGAGAAAAACACTGGGAGAAGGAACTGCAGCAAAATTCAGCATGACTGTTTCTGAGCTTAAATACAGTGGGTTGCTCTGTGGCAACATTTTATTGTTACTGGGTTAGTTGTTTCATGGACTAATGTCTGCTGTGAGTGAGATCAGATTCAGACCAGAAGTTGGATGGGGAGGAAGTTGTCTGTAAGGAGGCTCATTTGAAAAGTCTGAGTGGTTCCTTTTGAAACTGGTAACAAGTTTGAATGCTTTCACTCTGAGTGCAAGGTAAGGAGGAAAGGCAATGATCTCTTCTGAGAACCATTGAGGGTCCCAGGACTGGAAAAGCTAAGACAGATCTGATGACTACAATAGAGTACTTTTGAACCCTCTTCTAGTGAAACAATAGTAGAAGGAACTGACTGACTGACAAGTTTGTGCTTTTCTGTAGCCAGTGAGAATAAACATTTTAAGATGAGTGGAATTTCTACTTATGCATGTGCTCTCCAGTGAGAGAAATAAAGAAGGTGCTAAGATTGAACATCTACAGCAATAGCATCCACACTTTAGCTTATGAGAATCACTAAAACTAGTTTTATGGCCATTATTAGTTTGAATAACTGTGTGCTGCTTTGGCTGACGCTAAATGTAACATCTTCTGTCTCACCCAAGAAGCCAAGGAAGGCTGAAATTGTCTTCCTCTGTGAGACTTGCCCATGCTAGTTCGTGGTTGGTCACTTAAAAATAGGTTGCCAGAGAAGGATCTGATTTAGTGTGAAATTCCCTTACGGAAACTGTGGCGGAAAAATGGGGCTTGGGGGTTTCTCAAGAGGATGTGAAATCTGTCTTTTGTCTTGGCAAATCTCACCCATGTGTCTGAATGTATCATCCAAATGTTCCTTTGTGGCTGGGCTTACAAATGCTGCTGTGGATGGCAGGAGAAAATTACATCAGTACCAAGCACATTCTTACTATGTACAGCTGATGCACAACAGATGTTCCAGTGTACCAGTGTCCTGAAGCAATGGTCACTAAAACCACTCAACTCAAATGGAGTTGCTTGATGTCTTTTACAGAAACGCTTGCCCATATCCTCACTTTGTGTAACCTGGACAGATGGGATTACCTGCACTCCAATGACATGATTATTCTCTTCTTAGCAATATCAGATTATGCAGATTTATCAGTATTCACGGATTAATTTTATACTACCTGAAAGGGCAGGAGGCAAATTAATTTTAGGAAGGAGAAGGTTTTATACATCTGCCTTTCTTGTTTCTAGTTTGTTGCCAACTTGTCAGATGAAGTAGTACAGTAATACAAAATTCATTTAAACAAAAAAAATTGGATTAAAAAAATTTTTTTTAATCCACTGGATTGTTAGACCCAGAGATACAGCATGGAAATAAAGAGGTAGAATTGCTAAATAGTAGAAGAAACCTTTGTGCTATTGAAGCGTATAGTTATAGCATGTTTCTCTGTTTTTGCAGGAAGTTCACATCCAGGTATCGTTGAATAACATCTTACTTTTCAAAGCCAGAAAGAACATGATGACATTTAAAGATGCTGTTTCAAGTAGGCATACAGAGCATTATGCAGACATAGTTCCTGCCCTAAAAAGCTGTTTAACGTGGCTCGAGCCTGTAAGCCTTATTTGGATTGTTAGACCCAAGCTATTAGGCAGATCTTTGCATTCATTTAAATACTAGGCTAGACTGACGCCATAGCGCTTCATTCTATTTAGCCCTGTATTAATGATGGGACTGGAAAGGTGACAACACACACTAACAACAGGAAGTGAAGTGAAGTGTGCATGGGCAATAGGTGGTGATTTGAGTCTCTTCATGTTTTGGGTATGAAATCCACATTTCTTCTTCACTTCCATTAGCCAGATTGTCCACAAATGCGCAAGTGTTTCCTCATGCTTATCTGCATTACAGTCACAGACCAAGAACTTTTACTGTGCATATTCCTTAGTGAAGGTAAAATTATTCCTGCTTTCCCCCCAATGCATGTGGATATCATCTTCATATGTTAAGAAAAATTCTAGATGAAAGCTTTTTAGTAAAAAATGAGGTTTAAGAAGTAGTAAAACAAATACAAAATTAACAACATGTTCCGCTTCCCCCCCACCGCCCTCCCCAATAAGCAGAACGCAAAAGAATAAGCAAGAGTTCCGTGGAAGGAAAAGGAATTAAAAATTGAAGAAATTGATTGTTTGTAATAACACATAACAGTAAAAAGGCCCCTTCAGAATACTTGCCACTAGCAATTAATGTTTAACACCACAGTTGATTGTTACCAGTGAATGAATGATCCTTATGAAGAATAAATACTAGGTAAAGAATTGGAGTTGCTAAATGAAGTGTTATCAAAACCCTTAACCTAACTTTCTTTGTGCCTAGAAAAACATTTGTCACTCTTCTGTGGCTACCTGTATTCATTTTCTTCAATTTTGGAAGAAAATGGGCCACAGGCGTTTAAGGGATGGCAAGTTCATGGGGGATTGCTGAGGCCCCCCTGACGAGGGCAGCATTGCTGTTCGGTTCTGCTCTGTGGCACCGAGTGAGTGGTAGTAGCTGCAGATGCCAGTTGGCATGATCCAGATGTTGTGTTATGCTGAAAGAAGCTTTGTAGCGTGAAACCGTACCCTTTCCTCACAAACTGAAGTCCTCCCAGACCCTGTTTGCTTCCTTTTTCTTGTTGGCAGGCAGCATGGGCTGCTTCTGCTGAGGGGCTGGTGGGAGTGAGGAGCCAGAACTGAGGGGATGCTAGATTTTCACAGGAGATGAGAAGAGGAAAAAAGATTAACATCTCAGAAACTGTTCTTCCTCCTAAACAACTTGCTCAGCAGAGAATTCTTGCATGATTGGTAGTGCTCTTTTGGAAGGCAGTAGGTAAAAGCGTGGATAGGTGGATCTCCTAAATACTGAGAGTATGTATCAAACCTGCAAAGATGGTCACTGCCTCCCCCAGGGTGCATTAACTCACTTGTGAGATGACAAAGTAGTTTAGAATCTGGACAAGAGCAATGCTACTCGTAAATGAGATGCAGGGAAAGAAAAAAGTCTTTCAAAATAACTCTGCAAACGTGCCAATTTTGTAGTAATGTAAATAATGAACTGAAGCAGATGCTTAACTGCTTAGATTACTAATTGTGTGTGTTTTTCACCAGAATACAGTTTCAAAGCTGCCATTCTTGCAGTGGTCGATTTCTGCCACAAGATGCCACCATTTCACTAAAAACGGTTTTAGACTTCACTATTACTAGTAACACCAAAGGTAAAAACAGCAATTCAGGACACGTTTTTAGAACAGTTTAATGTTGATTAGCCTGTGCAGTATAATAGAGCCTTTTCAAATGAATGTGGTTGATACTGATGCAATTTAAAGAGATTAATATTGCTGTAGAAACTCTGGTCATTCAAATGTTCCAACATCAGGAATAACTTTAAATATTTAGACATAACATATAGACTGCATAACTATGTGTCAGAAGATTGACAGAGGCTATGGCTGACCTCTCTGTCCTCCAGCTAGGTGGTGGTTCTTTTCCAATATGTAAGTGAGGCAAAAGAAAGAAAAATGCAAAGCAGCATGGTAAAAGACCTGAATGACCTGAAATATGCAGCCCTGTAAGACCAATGACAATGTAAACCAGGGTAGTTGAAATGTAGGAGAGAATTACAATAGCCACATAAAAAAAAAAAAAAAAAAGGATCAGACTCCTAAATCCCTGTAAGTAAGGTCTTTAAGAGGATTAGGAGACAGAACAGCAGGAAAAAACAGTTGATGTGCTACAGTACTTAGAATTAACAGTAGAAATTGAGGGGTGTGTCAGCAACAAAATTATCCATCACTTCTCATAGTAGTTGCTAATGTGGAAAGATGACTATCCTAGATATCACGTTTTACCAGTACTAAAAAGGAAATGTTTTTTAAAAAAAAAAATTGCTGATTTTTTGTTTTAAATTGCTGATAGGGATTTTGAAATGCTAACAAATTACAGTCAGTGATTAAAACCAGCTAGTCACGAAGGATGATATGAATGAAAGTAGCTGTACGTCACTACAAATTAAAAAACAGTTCAGGGAGTTGTTGGAGCTCCTTAGACCACACTGCCCAACCTCAAGACTGAGCTGCATTGTGCGGTATGCACATGTGTTTTTTATGCTGTCTAGAAATATGACTGCATACATGAAGTAGAACAAGACTGCCCACTTACATTTGGCTCTCACAGACCTGCCTTTCTGTCTCTGCAATTATTTACAAAGAAAACAATTGTCTGTCTGTGTGACTGCTCCCTTGCCCACACCTGGCTATCAGCATACATGCTTTATGACTAAAAGAAATCTTTTTCTAAAAATAAAGAAATATTTTTCAGCTTCTTCCTGTCTCAGTGGGTGAACGTTACCACTGTCCTTTCTTTTCTGCAGGACTGCGTTTCTCTGGGCACTCTCTTGAGCACAGGTTTTTCTTTAATTTCTCATACTTGAATCTTCCCTAAATGTTGCCTGGTTTTCATTTATTAAAGTCAGCTACAAGTTTTCATCCTTGCAGGTAAAATTTTTTATGCTTGCCCTCAATGCTGCATCATCCTCTTCTTTTTGCCTAGAGCAAGGCAGCCTTGCCCACTTGTGTCAGTCCAGTTAAAGCTGCACAACTTATTTTTCCAGACTGTTGCTTTGACTGTGCCATTTCTTTCTTTGCATCTTTCCCAGGGTTCCAATATATTAGATAAAACAACTTGTTCCCAGTTAAAGGACTTTCATGGCCTGAGGTCATCCTAGCTTTTTTCCCCTTGGCTTTAACAGTGATACAAGTCTTCATTGCCCACTTGTCAAACTGTCAAATAGTTCCATTCATGTTTCTCCCTCACTGCCTATCATACACTAGAGTAACTGCAGTTACCACAAAACTTTCTTAATTTCCTTTGTCAATTTTCATTTTATTTTTTTGCCTTGCCTACAAGTAACAACACAGTACTGAACTAAGATAATTTTTCAAGATGCACGCCGGTACTGTATTACTGAGGTGTTTTTTGCTTATCCATCTAATGCTGACACTTGGGCAAAACCCCCTTTTCCTCATGCTTGTACTATGCTTATTATGTGTGGATGCTCTGAGTACCTAACATGTCAGTAAGTATATTTTCAATATAAATTAAGAACAGTATATGCAAAAACCAGTGTTGGAATACAGGGTAATATTTCATGGGCTGCTGCAGGGTTCAGTTTGATAACAGGAGGGGTTGAATATGCCAGTTAAACATTAAATTTGCAAAATTAATAATTGACTAGTTTAGCGTAGAGAGGGCCATCTGAAACTTTGGGAAGTGTATTGGGTTTGCGTGGCAAGGTTTTGGTAGCAGGGGGGGCTACAGGGGTGGCTTCTGTGAGAAGCTGCTAGAAGCTTCCCCCATGTCTGATAGAGCCAATGCCAGCCAGCTTCAAGACAGACCTGCTGCTGGCCAAGGCCAAGCCCATCAGCGACGGTGGTAGTGCCTCCGGGATAACATATTTGAGAGGGAGAAAAAAAAAAAAAATCAACCCACCACAAACTGCAGCTGGAGTGAGGAGTGAGAATATGTGAGAAGGACATCTGTGCAGACACCAAGGTCAGTGAAGAAGGAGGGGGAGGAGGTGCTCCAGGCACCGGAGCAGAGATTCCCCTGCAGCCCCTGGTGAAGACCGTGGTAAGGCAGGCTGTGCCCCTGCAGCCCATGGAGGTCCATGGTGGAGCAGATATCCACCCGCAGCCCATGCGGGACCCCATGCTGGAGCAGGTGGATGTCCGAAGGAGGCTGTGACCCACTGGGAAGCCTGTGCTGGAGCGGGCTCCTGGCAGGAACTGTGGTTTAACCCGGCAGGTAGCTAAACACCATAGAGCCATTCACTCACTCTCCCCCTCCTCAGTGGGTTGGGGGAGAGAATTGGGGGGGGGGGGAGGAAAAATTTGTGGGTTGAGATGAAGGTAGTTTAATAGGACAGAAAAGGAAGGGAAAATAATAATAATGATAATAATATACAAAGCAAGTGATGCACAATGCAATTGCTCACCACCTGCTGACCGATACCCAGCCAGTCCCCAAGCAGCGATTGCGGCCTCCTGGCCAACCCCCCCCAGTTTCTATACTGAGCATGATGTCATATGGTGTGGAATAGCTCTTTGGTCAGTTTGGATCAACTATCTTGGCTGTGCCCCCTCCCAGTTTCTTGTGCACCTGGCAGAGAGCATGGGAAGCTGAAAAAGTCCTTGAGTAGTGTAAGCACTACTTAACACATTGATGTTTTAGTTGTTGCTATCAACGTTATTCTCAAATTAAATCTAAAACACAGCACTATGCCCGCTACTAGGAAGAAAATTAACTCTATCCCAGCTGAAACCAGGACAGTATCCACCCCTTATTTTATACCGTCTATGTCATGCCCAGGTCTCTACCCTTTCCAATAAATTCCAATTAACTACCACCACTTTTCCCGTCTTTTGATATAAACACACAGATGCCATTCCCTTAGTCTGTGGGACATCCCTCTAAAATGTCCTTTGAGTTCATTTAGTCCATGACTTTGGTCTCCATCTGTCATAACAGTCTTTCGGGGCAGGAGAAACGGTGTGTGATATTGAATTGTTGCGTGCTGAA